GACATTTCCCTGACATCTGAAGCAAAGGAATCATCACACCAATATTTAAAAATGGAAATAAATTTGACCCAAACAATTACCGAGGCATATGTGTCAGCAGCAACCTGGGGAAGTTATTCTGCAGCATCCTAAACAGCCGACTGCAAGACTTCCTCAGTGAACATAATGTCCTGAGCAAGAGTCAGATTGGATTTACACCCCACCATTGGACTACAGACCATATATATATACCCTCCACACCCTCATTCATAAACATGTCCACCAAAATAAGAAGATTTTCTCTTGTTTTGTAGATTTCAAAAAAGCATTCGACTCAATTTGGCATAACGGTCTGTTCCTGAAGTTGATTGAAAACGGTGTAGGGGGGAAAACATATGATATCATTAAAACAATGTATACAAATAATAAATGTGCTGTGAAAATTGGCAATATGGAAACAGATTTCTTCCCCCAAAGTAGAGGGGTGAAACAGGGCTGCAGTCTCAGCCCCACCCTATTTAACATTTATATTGATCAATTGGCTAAATCATTAGAACAATCCGATATCCCTGGACTCACCCTCTCTGACACACAAATTAAATGCCTCCTGTTTGCAGATGATCTAATATTGCTAGCTCCATCTAAGGAGGCATTACAACAGCAAATGGATCATCTGCAAAGCTTCTGTCAGACCTGGGCCCTGACAGTTAATCTGGAAAAGACCAGGATTATGGTCTTCCAGAAAAGACCCAGGGGTCAGGGAAACCCACACCGCTTCTTACTGGGCTCCACTGACATAGAACACACACACAGCTACACATATTTGGGACTCAAAATTACTTCAACAGGAAATTTCAATCTGGCCATTAATGATCTCAGAGACAAAGGAAGAAAGGCTTTCTATGCTATCAAAAAGTCTTCAAATATAGATATACCTGTTAGAATCTGTCTCAAAATATTCAATTCAATAATAGAACCAATCATACTGTATGGTAGCGAAGTGTGGGGTCCCCTTGGAAATCAAGACTTTGATAAATGGGACAAACACCCAATAGAAACCCTACATGCTGAGATATGCAAGAGCATCCTGAGAGTCCACAGGAACACCCCCAACAATGGATGCCGAGCTGAGCTAGGCCAATTCCCCCTTTTAATTAGGATACAAAAAAGAGCAGTCAAATTCTACAACCACCTAAAAACCAGTGATCCCAACTCCTACCATTACAAAGCCCTCCATTGCCAAGAGGACAACATAGAGAGGAGTCCCCTCAACCAGCTGGTGCTGAGGCTCACCTCCTCTAACAGCACAAGGCCTCAGGACAGCCCTCACACAATCTGGCCCAACCAAATCATAGCTAAAGCAAAAGAAAATTAAATCAACTATTGGACATGTACCACGAAAACCCAAAACAAACTTCAATGCTATTTGGCTCTAAACAGACAGTATACGGTGGCAAACTATCTGACCGCCGTGACTGATCCCAAACTGAGGAAGACATTAACAATGTACAGACTCAGTGACCACAGCCTGGCCATAGAGACTGGCCGACACAGGCAGACCTGGCTGCCTAGAGAAGACAGGCTGTGTCAGCTCTGTCCACAGAGACAGGTGGAGACAGAGCAACACTTCCTGCTGCACTGTCAAACATACCAAGACATTAGAACAAAGTTTTTTACAAAGATAACATGTAAACTCCAAGATTTTGAATCACTGTCTGACCAGAATAAAATGCAACATGTACTTGGAGAAAATAGTGCCAGCAGCATAGAAGCAGCGAAATATGTGAGCGCATGTCACAGCCTAAGAGACAGCAACAACACATAACAGCTGTTCCTCACAGCTCACTCCTCTACTTCATGGGTCTCTTTTCTTTCTTTCTTTTTACATTTGATACTTGCAGTTTTGAAATAATATATTGTTGTAAATTTTTAATGAATTGTATTTGTTTTTTATCAATTATTGAATTGTATTATCCTTGACGCTTTGGCAATATTGTTCACCTGACATTCATGCCAATAAAGCTATGAATTGAGAGAATGAGAGAGAGAGAGAGAGAGAGAGAGAGATGAGAGAGAGAGAGAGAGAGGTGAGAGAGAGAGAGAGAGAGAGAGAGAGAGAGAGAGAGAGGAGAGAGAGATGAGAGAGAGAGTCCTTTTTAAGAAGGCTTTGTAAGTGGAATAATTGCTAAGAGAAGAGGAGGACTTGAATAAAGCTTTGGAGTCACTCAAGCAAAGGAGAACATTTGATAAAAAAAACACTCACATTCTGTTGTTAATCTATCCATTTCTTATGTTTCAGCTTTATCAGTGCTGGCTGTCACTCTGCAGATGCTGGGTAAACTTGTTATCACCAACGGTACATCCCTGATGTACGCCTACACTGCAGAGCTTTACCCAACAGTGCTCAGGAACACAGCGGAAGGCGTTTGCATTACTGTTTCCAGAATAGGAAGCTGCCTTGCTCCTTTTTTTGTTAACCCTTAGATGCACGAGTGACTGGACCCTACACTCTTCCATAAGTGGGTCAAAAAGGACCCGTATTAGAATAATATGTGTTTTTATGCCATTTTTGTCATTTTGGTTAAGAAAAATCACTTAAATATATTTTTTTACATTTAGAAAAAAAACGTTTTCCCATAGGATCCATAGAAAATGCATGCGGGTCATATTTACCCCACTTATGGAAGCTTGGGGTAGTAATACAAAAACTACAATTTCTTAAAATGTAAATAAAAAATTAGAATGGCATGATATCCAAAACATGTTTTTTGAGGAATGGCTGGAATATGAAATGATAAAAAAAATGTAATTACAAAGATACTTAAAGAAAACCACCTCACCGGGTAAAAAGAAACCCACTTATGCATCTAAGGGTTAAGCTGAGTGAGTCGATTTGTCTTCAATATCAGGTACTATTTAGTTTAACCTGAATTTGTGTAGCACATCAACACATTTCTGTGGATAATCAGCCCCTATTTGTTGTTTGGATGCTCTGTACACACTTTTATTTTCCCCTTCTCCTTGTACAGGTGAATATTTTGAGTACCTGCCTTATATCACACTGGGGACTTCTGGCTGTTGTTTCTACCTTTTCTGTTATTTTCCTGGCAGAGAGTTTTGGACAACCCAAACTATTCAACAGATTCAAAAAAGAGAAAGGTGGGTAGCTTATGGGGTAAAAGATACAGTCACCGTAGCTGAAAAAAAAAAAAAAACACAAAGGTAGTGTACCAGAGGCCTGTACTACGAAGCTGGTTCAACCTAACCTTGGATATGTTGGAGTTAGCCGTTGGCTAAGCCAAAACATACGCGCTGGCGCTACTGTAGTACGACCGCTGGATATCAAGTGGACTCTCAAGAGCCGCCGTGTCCTATCTAGTTAGGTGCGCGTTCACATGAAAGGGTTTGTATTTGGAGCATTCGACCAATCTCAACACGGAGAAGCGTACTGACAGCGCAGCGTCATACTTCCTGAATGAAAAGTGAACTTTAATATTAGTCAATATGAAGAAGTTAAACTTTAAACATCCATGACTTAAACACTTTACCCAGGATAAAAGCCACATAGCTGCACCTGCCAAGGTGAATACAGCTGGTAAAAGAAAAAGTGTTTGAATGCGTACATTAACAGGTTTATGAAATCACTGCCCCCGTCCAAGACAACGAGTGGATCTGACTTTAATTAGGAGAATTTGACTCGAGTGTTTCGTCAACTTAATGTGTTGCTTAAAAGAATACTTCTGCATACAGTATGCACGGCCAGATACGGCTCAAGAAGCTGACTCAAATAAGGAAATATATGATACATTATGATGTGATATGATATAATGATAATGGGACACCATCTACGTCTGCACTCACAGTGCCGCGGACTGTACTTAATGTTACTCTGATCCGGTTACTTATGTCGTGGCAGATATTTAAGTAAGCTTCTTAACGCTAATGTTATAATAGTCAGATTGCTCTGAAGATGGGAGGGGATATTCTATTAATTTTCACGTTCACACAGTCAGTTGATTTTGGCCGGCAGTCTTTCCTGCAACGGCAGTTTTTCTGTATTTCCTCTATCCTGTAATATGAATTGATAGCTTTAAACTCCGCACACGGAGCTCTGATTGGTCAGCAGGCAGTGCTTTCACTGAGTTGATCTCTTAGCCTGCCACCTAACCTGCTCCGGAGCAGGTTTGCCGCTCAGCATAAGTTACCATGGAAATCTAGCCTGCTAAAAAGAGAACCAGCGTCGTAGGACCGGAAAGCCCGAGATTTCCCTGAATTTAGCCGGCTAAGCGAAAATCCAGCTTCGTAGTACAGGCCTCTGAACAACCACAGAACTTCCTGATACTGGATGTTCAGACAAGATAATGGCAACAAAAACTGCAACAAAACATCTCATATCATTCTTTAATATAGCCACCAAAACCAACCCCTCCTTATCCTCATCATCCACATGACGACTTTTTATAGTTTACGTACATAAAAATACAATTTGTAGAAATTAAACAATATTCAAATATTTCCTTTTTGCTGACAACCAAATAATGGTTTCTTTATTTGCATTTTATCCCAACAGCTTGAAGTGCCCGTGCATAACAAGAAAACAACATTCATAACTTGCTGTCTTGACGAAAGTCGCTTGATTGTCTTAAAAATTGCTTATATAAACATTGTACTATTAATTGTATACAATGCATACCGGTTACTGTTGTTCCTAATCAACATTACCTTCTGGTAATTGCAATCTGTATAAATCGATTTAATTACATTTTTTGTGAGGAGTAACTTTGAAGCAATTAAAACTCGACCAATACATTGGAGTATTTGTACATGCACTTTATGAATGTTATCACAAATCACATAGATATACAGTATACAACATATTAACATGGATGTGCTTTGCAACATGAGTGTTTGGTGCTAATTCTAAAAAAACAACACAATTGTGTTGTTTGAAATAACTGTCAAACTCCATGGTGCAGTTGAAGTCAAATGCTTCACTAATCTAGTGACATAAATTATTATTATTCTCAGGTATTATAAGTGGAAGGAGATAAGATGGTTATCCAGTTTTTGCTTCAGGCAGATAACAGTGAGGCTCCTTGTTCAAGGGAAAACTGGAGACTTCCCTTCTGCAACCTTTTCCTTTTCTTCAGTGTTTGTGAGTTTATAGGGTTTCTTCTTACAACATCTAGGGTTAATAAAGAAAACATTGATTCAGATGCGGTACTGGTTCACAGATACTGAACAGTGCTTTTGAGGCCTGAATGCACTGTGTGTGAATTACCACACACGTTTAATGTAATGTGTTGAGTTTGTGTGACTGGCTTACTTATGACCTACCAGAGGTGCAGTTTAGTTTCTAATTAAAGTGCAGTTAAGTCAAGCACTGTTAAGCAATGACTGACACTACTATGTGACACAAAGTTAAAATATCATAAAAAAAAAACACAATCACTGCCAAGATTTTTGTTTATTTAAAGACTAATTTGCTAAGTCTGAGCAATATAATTATAACTATAATATCTATATCATTTGGAAATACATATATTTGCCTTCTGGTATTGATCTTCTCATCAGACTGTCAGAAAATAAAGAAGCGTATTTCATAAAATGTTTAAGTGATTCTTCATGTTAAGCTGGCTTTGCTATAGTGTGTCGTTTGCCTTCATCTGGTCACACATAATTATGGCTGTGGTGAGTATAATCATTTTTAGTTTCTGTATAAATGTCCCTGGTGGGTTGAAGCCGAGTGCAGGAATAAAGCAGGGACAATTATAATTTTGCTAGAATACAGACCTAGACTATTCTGCCTTTTTTCTTTTTTATAAAAGCAATTGATAACGTGAAAAGATCATTCTTGAAGGCACAAGAAAAGGAAATTACCAAGTGGAAGTTATATGGTGGCAATATGAGGACATATCCTAGCCTGCTTTTTTATAATGTTTGCCATCAAGTTTTAATCCAGCTTAAAGGTGGGGTAGGTAAATTTGAGAAACCGGCTCGAGATACATACACTTTTTGTTATATTCCATGGAATGCTCTTAACATCCCGATAGCAATGAATATCTTAAGTGCTTTGACGGCCCGGCTAAAATAACTGGATGGCCTACCTGCCTGTCAGCCTTCCATCTGTGCACAAACTTATCTCGTGCCCTCATTGGTCATGTGCGCGTTCATGTGTGTTGGAGGAGGGGCTCTATAAGGAAGTAGCAGATTTTCTCTGGTTGTGTATTTTCAAATTCTAGCGATCTCGAGCCGGTTTCTCAAACGTACCTACCCCACCTTTAAGAGCATTCCATGGAATATAACAAAAAGTATTTCTGAAATAAATTACATACCCCACCTTTAATATGTTAATATATAATCCTCTTTATTATGAATCTGATGAATTGTAATTTATTATTATTTGTAGTAAATAAATTATTTGAACTGTTTTTATTATTTATTTATGGAGGCCATATGTTTTTGTTTTCTTATCTATTTAATTGTATTTTCTGTCTTTCATTCACATACAAATATATATTTCAGATTTAAAGCATACAGTTAGCCATGTTTCTTTCTTTTGATTTACTTGTAATGCCTGTAGACAAATGAGTTTTGAGCCAAGAACATATTTGCTTTTAAAAAAAGAAAATTAGAAAACCAAATCCAGTCAATTTTTATGTTAATTGTAATTAAAATACAAATGATTATTTTTAATAAATAATATCACTGGTTTCTGGGAGATTTGGTGACAGGAAGGTGCAGTTTTACCCGGGGAAGTGTTGCATGTGACTGACGGTGTCAGGCAGAGGCATTCCATAGCTCTCGGGCAGCAGGAGGCTCAGCAACCCGGAAGCAACTGTAATGCTTCCCATAAGGATGTAAGGCAGTGAAACGGAATAGCTTCCTGTGGCAGCACATCAAAGAAGGAGACAGTGAAAAACGACCATGGCCACAGCAAATAAAAACAACAAAAAGACAAAAGGTATAGCGACTGTAAGGATTGTATCTGCATCAGTACTTTAAATCAAATCTTTAAATAGAAGCCTCTAAATTTGAAGAGAAAGAGTTAGGTTTTCAGCATAATGGTCTATCCGATGTGGTTGCTAATCAAGCCTGCTTTTAGATTCTTTGTTCTTGTGACTTTTGTTCTGTTTTGTTTCAATGGAGGCACCAGCTTGTTCTAACAAGATGTCAGTTGGGTAAGAAACAGCTTTGTGCATCCAAATAATTATATGCTTAGGAAAATGTAAGAAGTGTAAAATAAGGCAGAGGTGAGAGCCTCCTTACTTAAGTAAATGAAGTATGGGGCAATGATGCTGCCTATTCTGGAGGCCATGGAGCAGGCCCCCAAGGCCGTATTCCTCAACACTGTTGGGTAGAGTTCAGCTGTGTATGCGTACACAATAGCAAATGCTGTCGTCACCGCACACTTCCCCATCATCTCCAGTGTTATGGAGAGATAAACCAGGTCTAGAGAGGGTAAAGCATTCAATCAGAGGTTACATGTAAGTTGAGTTATATAAGATGCAAATTCAATTATCCGCAATTATGTTTGCTTGCAATTGAGAAATCAGACACATTTTGCATCTGAAAATACTATATAATGAGTGATCCTACATAGACAAACAAATAACAAAAGGCACAAAGCTTTATTAATAAAAAATGCTTCCTCTAAGGGTCATACTTGCTGGCATGAGCTGTACGGAGAGTAGAAACAATCCTCCCATGAAGAGGGTTGATGAGAGACTCAGTCGTCTGGACCACCAGCGAAACATTACCCAAGACAAAGTGTAGGCTGGTATCTCAACCAAAGCCGACACGAAACAGTTGAAGTAAGCGTTACCGTGAAGGTTTGCCGTGTTTAGGGAAAGAGCAAAGTAAGCAATGGTCAAGGTGTTCCTGTGGGGATACATTTTAAACATTAATATCAATTTAGAATATGTTTTTAGTTAGTAGCTCTCAGGCATGACACAACAGCGTAGTCAGAAAACAAATTAAACTCATATTATTGGTGTTCCTTTTCTAGAAATTCTCATCTAGTGTTTCACAAATGTACCACAGCAAATTGGGCCCACTAAATATTACCAACCCATTCCCAGCGTTGATTTATTTTTCAAACGTAATTACAATGGCCCTTATAAGCCACTTGAGGTGTGATACAGTCTATGGTGATGACTGATACAAAAACTGAAATGTTAGTTCATGATTCTTATTTGGATTAGAAAGTGTTTCTTTTAGAAAGAATGTCCATGCTGCTTGTAACTTATCAACCTGCTATGATGAAGGATATGGAGGTTACGACTTATTTCCCGTCAGACTAAGTTAAACTGTTTCTAAATCAAACTGCATCGGTTTTCAGTAAGGAAGTGCGCACAGGATTAATACAGGCATACTGTGCAGTTATGAAACCTGATTTTGATCTGAGTTGCAGGCTTCACAGCACCTGACAGGTCATTATTTGTTGTTAGTTCAATGGACTGTCATTGGGCCTGAACAGTGTATGTGCGTTTGGAACAGCGTGTGTTCAGTATATGTCTGTGTGTGTATTTGTGCATGCAGGGTCACTGTACTGAATGTGGGGGTCAGCAGGGACTCACCAGACCAGCCACAGCGTGAGGGAGATCCAGCGGATGTTTGGGGAACGGAGCAGGTCACAGATGTTGAGGGCCTTAATCTCGCATTGAAGTTCTTTCTGTGGGGCAGCAGAGCCCTCAGAATAACAAACACTAATCAAGCAGAGCCATCGCTCTAGAAATAATTTCATTAGAGAGATGCTTGTGCATGAATGGCCACTTGCTGAGTGAACACATGCATGTGCACGTGTTCACACATGTAGTACCCAAACATCTGGATCAGGATTAAAGGCAAAAGTTAAATGTGCAATGAAGACTGGGGGGGGGGGGGATTCTTGTAGTAATTAGGAGTAATAATAATAATAAATTCAATTTATAAAGCACCTTTCATTGCTAGCAGCAATCCCAAGGTGCTAAAGTAGAAGGTAAAGAGTAGAGGTAAAGCAAACAGATTTCTCCAGTTTATGTTTAAATTGTAACCTGTCCTATTTGTTATCTCCCCTTAGTCATAATTCTCTAAAAATACAAATCATATAGTGATTGGCAGTGTGATCATATTTCTTAATGTGAGTGTTGTAGTTTTGACAGTTTTTTCTGAGGTTGTCCAGTTCCTAAATTGTTGATAATTAACAACTCAACACAACATCTTTTGAGTACATTTTTACAAAAGTTTTAAGTATTCAAAAAAAGAAAAAAAAAGTGAAACAATCTTTGGGTTCATACCGGCAAAAAATGTTGCTCCATAATGTTTACCGGAAAACTGTAAATGATTACATCACAGGCAGTGAACCATTAAGGATGCTCTAACACTTTTAAGTAAACTCTGCAAGAGTATAGTAAGAGTAAACACATAATACTGGCTTATCATATTAGGAAAATGCCCTGTGCCCAGTTTTTATGCATTTACATGAACAGTTTTTTTTCAGTGAGATCTCACCTGCAAAGGACTAAAGATGACCGGCGGAGGCTTGATTTTGTTCTTTTTAGCAGCATCTCTCACTATGGCCTCTGCCTCCTCCACTCTGCCCCGAGACAGCAGCCAGCGAGGAGACTCTGGGATGAACCTGCCTCAGTACACAACAGAAAGAGAGACAGATGTTCAATCCCCCAGAAGAGAGAAAATTATTTTACCTTATTCCGAGTCCTTTGACTGCTCAAATGATCCTCCATAAAAGTAAAACATACCTAACAAAGCCTTGATAAAGTTGAAAAAGGCTGATGCTGTTGCAATGCTGTTATTACATTGTGAATATACTGTAGTGACCATATCTATGTATGACACTTTTTATTAAATGTATACCTAATCCGACAATTATGCATGCATTTTAATATGATAGAGTAGATAAAAAAAATACATTAAAAAGTCATTGTCATAATGTCATAGTCACAAGTTTAATGTCACAACACCACAGCCCTATGCAATTTATATTTTACCATCAAAGAAGGACTGTATTTATTATGTTTATCAACTACGTGATTAATAGGCAAATTCTTTCAGCTTTAAAAAAACAATCTGCTTAGCTTTTGACAGGAACTATGTTGATTAATTGATTGACCTTCATGAACGTAATACTTAAAGCAACGCTGTACATTATACATCACTCAACACTGTAGAAAATAAAACACTTGAAATGAAACACAGCCAGAGATAAAATCAACTAGAAAAATAAGAACCCCACACATTCAAGCAAACACACACCTACCTACCACCAGAGAGGCACATAGAGGAAGCCAGGCAGGGTGAGGCCTAGGAGAAGCATCCTCCAGTCTCTCAAAAAGTAGGCTAACAGTGGCAGGAACATGTAGCCTGCAGCAAAGAAAAGACTCACACCTGCGGTGGAATAAATTGTCCGAACTTTTGGGCTCAATATCTCTGTCCCTGAAGCACAGGAGAAAAGGGGGGAGATTCAAAGCACAGGCAATGAATGACACATTATTTTTCATGGACAAGTTAGCAACTAAATACACCTGAAATCATCGAATAGAGGCAAACAAAAGTACCTAGCACAAACGCAGCCACATAATTAGAGATTTGTCCCATCCCGACAATAAAGAACAGGGCGCAGAACACGGGCCAGGATGGAGCGAAGACCATGATGAATGTGAACACTGTCTGGACTGCCATGGTAACAAACAACACTATTTTTCTCCCATACCTAAATATGATACAAAGCACAGGTAAATGACCATGTAAGTAGATGCAAAGGTCAACCAATGGAACCCTCAAATGTACTATATAGTATGATTCACTGAAGTCGACAAAACACTGACAAATCCAGTAAGTACAACACAGTAGTGTAAATTGTTTCCCAGAATTTGCATAGCTGTTGAAGTTAAACATTTAGCCGAGAGTCTGCATTTGTGAGAAGGTCAACACATGACAGTTGGGAAAATGCTTTACTGATGCGGCTTCATTTTTACTGGCACATTCTCTTTTTTTTTTCATTTAGTGAACTGTCAGACTTTGATCAGCACTGACGGCTAAAAAAAAAAGAAATAGGTTCTTGTTGAGTTGTTTGAGTACGAGAAAATCATTGTAACATTAATATCATTAAAACATCTATTCATTGACAGTGGGGCACACTTGTTGCTGTTGGAAATTTGACTTGGCAGATCATTTGTTACAATAAGTGCTTACTTAGTGATTAACGTTTTGAAAAACTAAAGTTAATCTTTCACCACCTGTCAGAGAGCTGCCCCGAAACGAAGGAGCCAGTGAGAACACCACAGAAGAAGATGGAAGAAGTTAGCGGGTTCTTCCACCCGTCGTCACACACCAGGTCCCACTGCAAACACACACACAGGCAGTATTTAAGTCTTCACAAAAAGTAGCAATTTCTTAACGAAAAACTGTCTAAAAAGTACCACAGGAGTGCATTTGTATGTGTATGTATAATCATAACAATTATCATAGTTATATCAAAATAAACTTACTTTGCAGAAATTTGAAATGTTGGCTTTTTTTTTTAACAATTATAACCTAATGGCTTATTTATTTGTTATTACTGGAAATACAATTTTTTTTCTTTATGTCCAAATATGCACCTAACGAGAGTGGAACAAATATTAGACACATCTTTGAAAATGTAATACATTATTGTTTTAGTTTCCCAATGATTGATAACTTGGTGGCTGAACAATTAATGTTATATGTGAGGCAATTTCTTGTGTAGATGTTGAAAATATCTCTGAATCTATTGCAACATCAAGATGAAATGTAGTTTTTGCACTAAATTTAAAAACTCTAAATTACTAAGTAGGCTACTGTACTTGAGTAAAATGTTGAGAATTTGACAATTGTATGCTACGTCGTACTCGTACTTCTACTCCACTACAATTCGACGGTAAATATTGTAGGCTACTTTCACTCGACTACATTTATTTAATACCTTTAGTTACTACGCAGATTTTCATTAATAATGTGACATAATTTATAATTGAGTTACAATTGGAGTAAATACAAAAGCTACCTTGCAGTATACAGAGTAATTACAACTAGCTGTAACTGTACCAGCTTTGATAACACTTTAATGTATCAATAATTATAATCAAAACATATGATACATATTATTCTGGGATGGGCCAATCTGCATTAATGAGTAGGTACCACAAAAGTATATTTTGAAGCTTATTATTTTGTACTTTTACTTCAGTTACATTTCAAATGAAGGAATGTTCTTGTAGTTATCCTACACACTCCGGTTCTTTCACTCAAGTACAAGATCTGAGAACCTTTTCCACCTCTGCTTATACTTCCTGTATGAATATCATATACATTCCTCATGCGTCATCTCAGTGTCAGCTGCATCCCAGAAGCTACGCAGACCTGTGCACAAACCTCAGTTATGATGGTAGAAATGTACACGCTTTGGTCATACTCCCACCCATCCAAGCAGCTCTCAGTCGGCACATTAGACATGTTAACATCGACCCCGGGCAGAAAGCCTCTGTCCGAGAAACTCAGCACATCTCCCAGCCTGTATCTGGAGCACTTGCTGGGCACCAACGCGCCGCTGTTGCTGTCCAGCTCCAGCGGGATGCTGCGGTTCCTCCACGCCGCTGTCAGGTTCACGTTTGCGGGAATGACGCAGCGGTGGGGCGGAGTGTCGGCGACGAAGACGATGAACATGCCGGTGAAACCGTTAGGGATGACGGTGAGACAGAGTAGGAAAAACACCTGCTGCTGGAAATGTCCCCATTCCCCGAGAAAGGCAGTTGCAACCTCATAGTCAGTCATGTTGTTTGTGTTGGCTTTTTGCTCCTTGCACACAAAGTGGAAGGATTTTGAAGTGGGCTTTTCAAAAGCAGTGGTTTTGTTACAGCTTCTAAACCATCCCACCCACCACCTGCTGTATTCAGTGTTGGCTGCGGTTTTCCTAATTAACCGATATTGAGAAGATTAACAGGTGTGATGCCCCTGTGGGATCATCAGTGGAGAGGGTGTGGCTGCACTGATTGCAGTGATTCAGGACACCTGGGTCTGGTGGCCTGGAGCTATTTAAAGCCTCTCTGCTCCTCTCTGGTTGCGGTCGAATAGTCCATTTTAGTGATGTGTCGGTCGCGAACGAGCCGATTCTTTTGAACGGCTCTTTGGTACGAACGAGGGGAACCGAGTCCTACTTGGTGAGAGCCGTTCTTGTTATCGTTCAATCGTTGGTCCGCACTCACTGCCTGCCAAAATCCACTCGCCTTTTAAAAAGCTTGATTTTGTTCCCCAAACGTATTCTGTGAAGACCCGCCCCTACTCTGATTGGTAGGTTTCAGCACGAGGAGTGAGATGGGGTGGGTCTTAACGGAATACGCGAGAGAGAGAAGTCATAACAAGTGGTACAGGACAGTAGAGATGGCAAATCCGGATCATTTTACGGACTCGGGGTCTTCTGAGTCAGTCATTGAAGAGATCCGGATCATACGAGTCATTTGAGTCATATGAGTCAGCATCACCAAGACCGTAGAAATCCTATCGGTGAAACCGAAAAGTTGATGCATTTCACGAGCATATTATTATTCCATATATTTTGAATATATATATATATATATATTTGTATGTATATATATATATATATATATAATATCTGCATGTATATTTTCTATTTCGACATGTATATTTTATATTTTATATTTTATTTTATTTTTATTTCTATTCTTGTATATTTTGTAGTTTTGTTTTATTGTAAAATGCCTTTTATGCTGCTGTAACAACAATTTCCCAATTTGGGATCAATAAAGTACTATCTATCTATCTATCTATCTATCTATTAAACTGACGTTATATTAACCTCCGCTACACAGTGTATTTTGCTTTAATAAAAAATGTTGATCACAAAAAAAAGGGTTATTTTGCGATTTGGCAAATCTGAGTCTGCTGTTGACTCGTGCATGAGGACGAGTCTGCTGGATCTCTGGATCTGCTGCTATATACGGCTCCGAGTCCGCACGAGTCTGCTCTGCTGTGTGTTGCACAGTGAGTCAGGATTTGCGAATCTGAGTCTGCTGTTGACTCGTGCATGACGACGAGTCTGCTGGATCTCTGGATCTGCTGCTATATGGTTACGGCTCCGAGTCCGCACGAGTCTGCTCTGCTGTGTGTTGCACAGTGAGTCAGGATTTGCGAATCTGAGTCTGCTGTTAACTCGTGCATGACGACGAGTCTGCTGGATCTCTGGATCTGCTGCTATATGGTTACGGCTCCGAGTCCGCACGAGTCTGATCCGCTGTGTGTTGCAGGGAGTCAGGATTTGCGAATCTGCAAATCTGCGAATCTGCGAGTCTGCTGTTGACTCGTGCGGGAGCCGGGTGCTGGAGGAGGGGCTATGCTCGTGCACATGACAAGTATGGATCGCTGGATCTGCTATGCTATTACGGTTAGGAGCCGTCGGCTCCTCTGAGTCCCCACGAGTCTGCAGGAAGTTTCACTGATCTGCGTCCCCTCCCCTGAGCCAAACAATAACTTCTGGCAGGCAGCTATCCTGTATACTTGCTAAAGGGTAGGTAGATGGACTGGGGTACGTTGTAATGTGATTTTACATGTTATAAAGAGAGTAGCGAGTGACGCAATTTATAGTTTTAATTTGTACGTCACACCAAGTGTGGGACTCAAGGACTCGGGTTAATGGAGAGGGGAGACTCGTCACGACCAGCTCATTTCTAGGATCCGGGTTAATGATCCGGATGAATCAGGACTCGCCCATCTCTACAGGACAGTAGTGATGGGAATTATGGCTCTTTGAAGGGAGCCGGATCTTATGGCTCCGTTCCTTTCAAAGAGCCGTTCAAAAGAGCCATTTTTTTAAGGTTACTAGGTTTATCTGCAACATAATCACCAGGATAATGATTGACTGTATTGCCAGACCTAATGTCAATAATCGGCATTGTAAACATGACACAAGGTGGCGCCATATCCATGTCATCATGTCAGTGAATGTACTTTGAATTTACCCTCTGTATGTGTTAAGTAAATAAAGTTGCCTTGCCTTGAATGAAATTCATGCAACTCTTAATATTAGATACTGTGTTTTTAAGTGGCGATGGAGATTATTTGTTGACCCTGCTTTAAAGGATATTTTGCCTTTACAAATGGTGCGCTTTATCACTGCCTGGGTTTTGGTTGAAGTGCATCCAAATGCTGCTGCGTTTTCGCGTTTGGCTCATTTTCCATCCGAAAAACACGTCGTCTACCTGTCCTGTACCACTTGTTATGACTTCTATATTCTATTAATTTTCGCGTTCACACAGTCAGTTGATTTTTGCCGGCCGTCTTTCCTGCAACGGCAGTTTTTCTGTATTTCCTCTATCCTGTAATATGAATTGATCGCTTTAAACTCCGCACACGGAGCTCTGATTGATCAGCAGGCGGTGCTTTCACTGAGTTGATCTCTTAGCCTGCCACCTAACCTGCTCCGGAGCAGGTTTGCCGCTCAGCATAAGTTACCATGGAAATCTAGCCTGCTAAAAAGAGAACCAGCGTCATAGGACCGGAAAGCCCGAGATTTCCCTGAAGTTAGCCGGCTAAGCGAAAATCCAGCTTCGTAGTACAGGCCTCTGGTTTTGTTGAGTATGTTATGAGTTTTCTTAGTTGTTTCACTTTGTGCACTTCAACACTCTCACACATACATGTCCATACAATCCTCACCCTGCATTTACACGACTGATACCACTGATATTCACACCTCATGCCTTATGTTAGTTTTGCACTTGATTCATTTGGTTAATTTGAACTACTTGTTTAAATAAACATATTTTTCTACCCGTGAACATGTTGTGTCTCCTCTTTGTTGTGGCCTTTTGAGCCAGGTCGCAACAAATGGGGGCTCGTCCTACGGGTTATTGGTTTAAAAGAGCCTCTCTGCTCCTCCCTGTAGGCACCGGGGGCCAATACTACGAAGCCGGATTTTCGCTTAGCCGGCTAACTTCAGGGAAAACTCGGGCTTTCCGGTCCTACGACGCTGGTTCTCTTTTTAGCGGGCTAGATCTCCATGGTAACTTATGCTGAGTGGCTAACCTCCTCGGGAGGAGGTTAGGTTGCAGGCTAAGAAATCAACTCAGTGAAAGCACCGCCTGCTGACCAATCAGAGCTCCGTGTGCGGAGTTTAAAGCTATCAAGTCATATTACAGGATAGAGGAAATACAGAAAAACTGCCGTTGCAGGAAAGACGGCCGGCAAAAATCAACTGACTGTGTGAACGTGAAAATTAATAGAATGTCCCCTCCCATCTTCAGAGCAATCTGACTATTATAACATTAGCGTTAAGAAAGATTACTTAAATATCTGCCACAACATAAGTAACCGGATCAGAGTAACATTAAGTACAGTCCGCGGCACTGTGAGTGCAGACGTCGATGTGTCCCATTATCATTCATATCATATCACATCATAATGTATCATATATTTCCTTATTTGAGTCAGCTTCTTGAGCCGTATCTGGCCGTGCAACACTCAGTGTCACATACTGTATGCAGAAGTATTATTTTAAGCAACACATTAAGTTGACGAAACACTCGAGTCAAATGTAATTAAAGTCAGATCCACTCGTGTCTTGGACGGGGCAGTGATATCATAAACCTGTTAATGTACGCATTCAAACGCTTTTTCTTTTACCAGCTGTATTCACCTTGCAGGTGCAGCTATGTGACTTTTATCCTGGATAAAGTGTTTAAGTCATGGATGTTTAAAGTTTAACTTCTTCATATTTGACTAATATTGAAGTTCACTTCTCATTCAGGAAGTATGACGCTTCGCTGTCAGTACGCTTGTCCATGTTTGAGATTGGTCGAATGCTCCAAATACCAAATACCACCCCCTACCACCTAACTAGATAGGACACGGCTGGCTTGAGCGATCCACTTGATAACCAGCGTCGTAGTACAGCTTAGCGAGAGCGCGTATGTTTTGGATTGGGCCAACCGGCTAACTCAAACATATCCAGGTTAGGTTGAACCAGCTTCGTAGTACACGCCTCCGGTTTTGTTGAGTATGTTATGAGTTTTCTTAGTTGTTTCACTTCGTGCAATTCAACACTCTCACACATACATGTCCATACAGTCCTCACTCTGCATTTACACGACTGATACCACTGATATTCACACCTCATGCCTTATGTTAGTTTTGCACTTGATTCATTTGGTTAATTTGAACTACTTGTTTAAATAAACATCTTTTTCTACCCGTGAACATGTTGTGTCTCCTCTTTGTTGTGGCCTTTTGAGCCAGTTCGCAACAACAGGCCACATACAGTTCCTGGATAAAAAAAAAGAGTTACACAATGAAACAGGCCTACTGTATAGCCTACTGTCCACTTTGCGCCAAATAAACATAAAGTACGATCTACATCTACAGTATGTCAACATGTTAGCTTAGATTACGTTTGACAAAATATAGCTTTTTTCAGTTTCAACATAATAACGTTTAGCTCTGTCTCAGAATTTATAACGATGACCTATTGACCTGAGTGTGTGTCTGCACCTACTCCATAAAATATTAGGGTGAGCGGTCATCTTATATTTTTCCTGAGGGGTATTTTTATTGCTTATATCAAATCCGCTAAATGTGTCCCTGGAATTATAAATAATAAGATCGTATGTTGCATTGGTCTAATTAGAATTTGTATGAGATCATTTGGTCAATCACACAAAATCAGAAGCTCCAGTTGATCCATACAGGTGTATCAAAGAGCAAATATCAAATCGGATATTTGTGCTATGAGTAATTAATGATGATTTCCACTTTGTACTTGCCGCACAAGACTCTGCAGGAACCAGACAAAAGATCTGCACATATTTAATCTCCCAGCAACTGTAACTGTTCACATTTGATCTATCAGATACCTTTGTCTGGCATTTAAATCTCTGTTAGATTGAAATGTTGCACAGTAAAAATAGCTGGAAGCTTTTAATGAAGTGTGCTGATCTTTAGTTTGATTCCTGATCTTTTAATTCTTTCCTGAAAAGTTTTAAAGATGTCAA